CATGTCATGTCGGTGTATCGTTGGTAAATGAGAAGGCCGCCAGTGTTGATCTTGCTCGACTTGTGCGTCGCGGTGACGGCGAAGTGAAGACTTCGTGGATAACACGGGCCCAAGACGGTCAGATGGTCCACAAGGACGATGTGGTGGAGTTCTCGGAGGGGGTTGGCCAGGTGATGTGTCACTTGAGACAAGGAGCCATGGTTCTGACGGTTCTAAGGCCTTGGGATCACATCCATGGCCAGATGTACAAAGTGAGGGATGTGCCCATAACGATTGAGACCAAAGAGGTCAAGACATGTTGCATGTACAGCCTCAAAGGTGAAGACGCAATGGTAGTGAGGAGGTAAATACAGTGTTGGGTTGCAGCTGGTCCCTCCCATGTGATGTGATATCGTGCCACGTCATGTTACCATATGTTATATATTATATACCCCTTTCGTGTAAAGAAAGCAAAAAACCTGCTCACAAGCATACTGCCCTGCAAGCGGTCATGGCATGAATGGTGTCCTATATGAATGATCCTATCACCAGTGGGGTCAAGACATGGTACATGTACAGTCCACATGACATATTGGGTTCCCGGCCTTTCTTTCCCACGCAGGTGCTTCAAAGCCAGCGGCTGGTGACTTGGCAAAAGTATTCTTTTTTTGGGGGGTCTAGTTTTGGGGGTATGTTTAAGACCACTTAGCATACTTATTAACGCTGTTATCAAAAATAGCTTAAGTCGACTAACTAGATAGCATGTAGACTATGTACATAGTATATAGTGCAACTACTTAACAACCAAGAAGAGCCTCCAAGTATGTATGTATTATTTAGTGTATTTTTCTACTACTGGGTTTACTTTCTTTCTTCTATGCTACCAACCACCCCCCAAAACCACAAAAATTATCTAGTAAAAGTCTTTCATTTTCCCTTATTCAAGCTCTATCAAAACCTTAACTTTTTCAAGCTCAGAAAGGGACCCCCTCACACAGGCCCTACCCCCGCAATAGTGGGACCACCTCCCCCATCAAGCAACCCCAGCTGCCGCAGAACATATATAGTTTACTATTGTGTATATATGGTGTTTTTATTGTTTTCGTTTTGCTAGTATTCAATATATTCATCTCCTGTTCTTCCTGTTTCTCACCGCCACCTCTCAACTGCCCCATCCTGCTCACCAATCCTTTTGACGGCTTCTCTGGATCCACCCTCACCACAAATAGCCTCACCTCAATGATCCAACTGGCGTGGCTCTCTGATCCATCGTATCTGATATCCTACCAAACTTGCGCCGATACACTCAAAGCTTTCTTGGTTATCATGGTTCAAACTCTCATCTCCTCATGTCCCATACACTCAACCATCACCCATCAGGTCTTCATCTCGTCATCCATCATCAGGTCATCACCTTTATTAGGGGGATGTCCTCCTCAATATCTCAAATCTCAAACACTATCTCAAACCCTGTTGACCTAGAAGGGGGGGCCGGTTGATTAATCCTACATCGACATTACTGTTTGGAGTTGTTGTTTGCACTGCGCTGGGAACATTCCCATTTGCTAGTGTAGGGCTGGTTCTGCATCCGTTGGTCGGGTTTCACCCATTTCACCCCTCATCCAACAAAGCCCCACTTGGGACGTGCGCATCGCCCGACGTTCGTTGCCGCCACCATTCCATAAACATCGCAAAGGCCATCGTACACAGTGGCCCCAAGGGAACAACGCGTTGAAAGGAAATGGTTGTAGAACAAGCTGATGCAGGTTGCACCTATCGATCTGACCAAAACCACTCGCACTTCCCACCGGCAGACCCCTCGCACTTGCCCCATGATTTTTTAAGATTCTGCGTGTGCACTTCGGAACCAGCCCATGTGGCGCAGGCATGGTGAACAAACAAACGTCCAGCGCCCGCCGCTATGCCAACAAGCGCAGGTGAAAACATCCGCTAATTCGTCCCCCGCGGGCCCCCATGGCCGCGAGTATCCGCGAGTTGTGTGGGCCGTGCGCTGGCGGCTTGTGCCTGCCCCTGCCGCGTGGTTTTGCGCGATTTAAGCCGCGTAAGTTCTTTCAAACACACACCAACACCCAATTGAGCAAATGTGGGGTTCTTGCTTCTGAGCGCTTGAAGTAATGCCCACTGCTCGGTACAACAGCGTCCGCAGATCGCCAAGCACGCCGCGGCATGTACGGCAACGCGTGCAACATGCAACTGCGACATTTGGAGCGGCAATGTGGGTTTTCAACATACGGCACAAGTCTAGCGCAGAACGACAGTGACATGGAGGCCAACAACGACGCGGTAGTGAGTTTACATGTTTCAATCGGCGACCTATGACGCCAACATAATCACGTCAACGAAATAAGTAGTTCAATGGTGCATTTTGTTCGGCGAAACTTGTGAGACGCACAACGGTGTTTGATGATGACCATGTTAGTGTTGGATGCCATATGGCACACTTTGCCAGACTTGCTTGCCGAAAGTCATTTCCATTCCGTTGTGTGTGGTATTGGCACACTGTACACCGCAATGTATTTCTTTCACTTGATTTGGCTATACGCAGCTGCTCCGAATCCTGAACAATATTGCATACAATGTGCAAAATTAGAATCCTACTATGAAAAAATTTCCCCACACTGTTGTGTGGGGTTCTTGTTTTTTTTGCTGCGCCTCCTCGCTCGTCCTCCTCCCTCCTTCCTCATGTACGCCCTGGCGTCGTCTGGCGTCGGCTGGGCACCGGCGCAGATTTCGTGGCAGGCGCAGCACTTTCTCACACAACATCTCTCACAACAACATCACTCAGACAACATCCCACACACAACGTCTCGCACACAACATCACTCACACAACATCTCTCACAAACAACATCTCGCACACAACATCACTCACACAACATCCCACACACAACGTCTCGCACGCAACATCACTCACACAACATCCCACACACAACATCACTCACACAACATCCCACACACAACATCACTCACACAACATCTCCAACACGCCCGCTGCTTGCCAAGGGGTCGGATGCCAAGGGGTCGGATGTACGCCCTGGCGTCGTCTGGCGTCGGCTGGGCACCGGCGCAGATTTCGTGGCAGGCGCAGCACTTTGCTGCTTGCCAAGGGGTCGGATGTACGCCCTGGCGTCGTCTGGCGTCGGCTGGCGTCGGCTGGGCACCGGCGCAGATTTCGTGGCAGGCGCAGCACTTTGTGAACCTCCATGTGCAGATTTTGCGTTGCAGGCACAGCATCTGTGGAGCTGGAAGCTGAGAACTGGCGACTTTGTAGTACAACTTTAGTACGCGGAGTATCTGCGGGGCTGGAAGATGAGAACTGGCGACTTTGTAGTACAACTTTAGTACGCGGAGCAATCTGTGGAGCTGGAAGATGAGAACTGGCGACTTTGTAGTACAACTTTAGTACGCGGAGCAATCTGTGGAGCTGGAAGCTGAGAACTGGCGACTTTGTAGTACAACTTTAGTACGCGGAGTATCTGGGGAGCTGGAAGATGAGAACTGGCGACTTTGTAGTACAACTTTAGTACGCAGAGTATCTGGGGGGCTGGAAGATGAGAACTGGCAACTTTGTAGTACAACTTTAGATTTCGTGGCAGGCGCAGTACTTTGTGAACCTCCACGCGCAGATGTCGTGGCAGGCGCAGCACTTTGTAAACCTCCATGCGTAGATTTCGTGGCAGGCACAGCACTTTGGGAACCTCCATGCGCAGATTTCGTGGCAGGCACAGCACTGTGTGAACCTCCATGCGCAGATTTCGTGGCAGGCGCAGCACTGTGTGAACCGTACGCGGAGCAATCTGTGGAGCTGGAAGCTGAGCACTGGCGACTTTGTAGTACAACTTTAGTACGCGGTGTATCTGGGGAGCTGGAAGATGAGAACTGGCGACTTTGTAGTACAACTTTAGATTTCGTGGCAGGCGCAGTACTTTGTGAACCTCCACGCGCAGATTTCGTGGCAGGCACAGCACTGTGTGAACCTCCATGCGCAGATTTCGTGGCAGGCGCAGCACTGTGTGAACCTCCATGTGCAGATTTCGTGGCAAGCACACAGCACTGTGTGAACCTCGCGGTGCAGATTTCGTGGCAGGCACAGCCCTTTGTGAACCTCCATGCGCAGATTTCGTGGCAGGCACAGCACTTTGTGAACCTCCATGTGCAGATTTCGTGCCAGGCACGCAGCATCTGTGGAGCTGGAAGCTGAGAACTGGCGACTTTGTAGTACAACTTTAGTACGCAGAGAATCTGCGGAGCTGGAAGATGAGAACTGGCGACTTTGTAGTACAATTTTAAGTACGCGGAGTATCTGCGGAGCTGGAAGATGAGAACTGGCGACTTTGTAGTGCAACTTCAGTACGCGGAGCAATCTGTGGAGCTGGAAGATGAGAACTGGCGACTTTGTAGTACAACTTTAGTACGCGGAGCAATCTGTGGAGCTGGAAGATGAGAACTGGCGACTTTCTAGTACAACTTTAGTACAAGCGCCAAGCAGCATACATCCACCCACACACTGATACACACTGACGAACAAGCGCATACACACAAACACACACCTCACGTACACACAGAGACCCTCACGCCTTATATCTGTCTCGCCAGTCTCTTCCCCACGCTCACTCTTCCGCACTTTACACCTGCAGCCTCAATCTTTCGAAGTTGTTCACATGTGGGGTTATCCGGTCCTATAATTGAATCAATTATGCCAGCATCGACCCCAAACAGTTTCAAAACGACTCGTTGGGACCAATCGGCCACAGAGTTCAGGGGCGCGGCCAGTGAGTGTGGCCAGTTTTTTCTCAGGTAGAACCCCAACAGGAACCGGTCGGTGAAAAACTAACATATGTTGAATGATGATGTTGGCGCTGCGGCCCCGGCCGCTGTCGACATGCCGAAAAGCCAACTTAGAGAGAAGACTACGGGGTGGAACCTGCAAACTTGGTTCAGTGGCGGTGCCTTACTTGCACCAATTTGTCCCGTAGCTGGACCATAGTGACAGGCTTTGCCATGGAAGGTTTGCATCGATTTTGCCGTGTTGCAGCGGGTGGCGCGCACAGTTTGCTGGTCACTGAACGCGCCGAAGTCTTAGCGTGGGGCAGCAACTCACATGGCCAAGTTGGCAACGACAGTTTGGAGGACGGAACGCCGAATTCCTTCAAAACCATAAACCAAGAGGTGGATGGATGCTAAAACCTTTGGTTAGGTGTTGTTGACCCGTGTTGCCTGTGCAATAGTTTCGCCACGCCAGTTGTGTTGTGCAAGTTGGTTGTATCGTTGAACGGTGGCACATGTCGGAAATTGTTGGTTTGTTCTTCAACAGCCCTCCGCCGCATTGCGCGTGTGCCAAGGGTGGTTTGCAAAAATAGGTTGGTCAGTGCCTTTTTGGGGGTGCACAGCCTCACGACACGGCTCACCGTTCGCCGAGCAGAGCAAGTCAAACGATTACTATGTAGTTGGTTATTTTTTCAGTGCTGCCACATGCTGCCACTCGTGTGAGCACATCCATGCTTCAACCTGTACGCGCGATTCAATGAACAAACGTTATGTAACAAATACCCCCGCCACGATTCCCTTCAACAATGTCAAAACTCAATGTGTGGGGCCCCATTGCGTACCCAAACCATTTCAAAACCCGCGCGTTGAGCATCAGCGTTGTCGCGCGAAAACAACGCGTCATTTGTAGGACATCCCCTTCCCAGTGACTGTGATCGAACCTGGGCGCGCTCAATTCGTGTTCGCCGGGAGATACTCGTCGATGATGATCGACTTGGATGGGCAGTTGTGGGCCTGGGGTTCCAATGAGGATGGCATCCTGGGAATTGGCAGCGGTGTGGCCAAGCAGGTAGTCCCAACCCGGGTGGAGACCGGTGGCAAGGCTATCAAGCATGCAGCTGGAGGGTGGAAACATTTTTTGGCTGTGACTGAAGATGGTGAGCTCCTCACTTGGGGAAACAATGACTATGGTCAACTGGGGGATGGAACTCAAGAGAAGCGTCGTGCAGCAATGGTTACACCACTACCCGGAAATGTTCGGGCGGAAGTGGTCAGTGCTGGATCCTACCAGTCCCTGGTTCTAACGGATGCTCGGTGCGGTGATGACGCTTTAGCAGTCTTTGATTTGTTGGCCTTGGTGTTCTTCCCTGCCTACCGTGTTAAGGGTTTTAGTTATCAGAGCTCTTCTGTTCTCCTCCTGTCCTCTTCCTTCTCCTCCTCCACCCCCTCCCTGCCAGCAAGTCAGGGCAAGTGGCAAATCGCAGTGGGCACTACCAGACAACAATTGCAAGTGCATGATCACAGTGGGCACTACCGAACTTCAATTGCAAGTGCCAGATCGCAGTGGGCACTACCGGACCTCAAACACACGTGCCTGATCACAAGGGGCACTGTCGGACCTCAGCACTGCCGGACCTCAACCGCACGTGCCAGATCGAGAGGGCACTGCCGGACCTCAACCACACATGCAAGATGGCAATGTGCACTGCCGGACCTCAACCGCTTCGAGGTTCACAAAGTGCTGTGCCTGCCACGAAATGTGCACTTCGAGGTTCACAAAGTGCTGCGCCTGCCACGACATTTGCACTTCGAGGTTCACCAAGTGCTGTGACCGCCATGAGATTTGCAATTTAAGGCGCTCACATTATTGCTGCCCCTGCCACGACATCTGCACATCAATATCCCAATCGCGCAGCCCTGCCAACGCGCTTCGCAGTAGCAGGCGCAGCCCTTAGTAGGGGGTAAGACACTGACAGTTTTTTGACGGCAATGTATATTTTTTTGATAGCCCGGCCTTGCGGTGGACCTCAGCAGCATGCAAGTACCAGATCGCAGTGGGCAGGCACTACCGGACCACAACAGCAAGCGCAAAATCGCAGTGGGCGCTGCCGGACAGCAACGGCCAGCTCCAGCACCGGAACCTGCCAGAGAATGTCAAAAATGTATTCCAGATAGAAGGTCGTAATATTTGCTAGATAGAATTGACTGTAAGAATGTATGGCACACAGAATGCAAGAATAGTTGCCAAGTAGACAGATGTAGAAAACTAGAAATGAGTCAAAATCCAAAAATAGCCGGTAGCAACGGGGATACTTCGAGATACTCCGAGTGATCCCCGCCCTTAAGGGCGTTTTGTGCGGATTGATATGGTGTTCTGACGCTCGTTCTGGCATCAAGTCTGGTTTGTGCTCTGGCACATCACCTGCCATAAGGCTAGGGAACGTTCCGAACTGTGTTTTGATAATTTTGTTGGCGTGTGTTTTGACGTGTTCCATATCTGGCATGTGCTGTGACTTATGGATCAACTTCAGTCCCGGCATGTGTTCCGGCAACTGTTCTGCCATCAAGGATGTCGTGGCATTTTACTTGGCATAATAACGGGGCATATACTCTGAGTTCTATCTGGCAAAATTGTTGGCATCCTATTTGCCATAGCGGACTGCATTTCATTTGGCATCACTGCCGGCATTTTATCTGGCGTTTACTCGCGTCGTTTACGGGTTATCTAAAATGGGTCCTGCAAATGGATGACACGGACACGGACGACTCTTTACACAGTCAGTTTGGTCAGTCACAACAGAAGATTTTTTCAATTTCCAGTTTAAAATCTTTGTTGCGTGAAAAATTATCGTATATAACCATGTTCTGGATAGAGTAGTCGGTAACAACGGGGATCTCGAAATAATGTAATTTTAAATGCTTGAAATTTGGGGGCAGGTGCACCCCCAAGCTGATGGCCTCTGAAATTCATAACGGTGTGTTTCCTAGCTGCCTAGTCCCCTTTGGGCTGACGTTCCAAACACCAGACCTGACAACAGGAAACTGGCGAAGTCTTGGCAGCTGGCATGGGCTACACCAAACCCGGTTTGGAATTCCTCCAGGTCATCCGCACTGGGGTCACCATGGTTGTGGCTGGAATCTCCCACAACCTCGCTCTCACTCGGACTGGTACTGTGTTGGCCTGGGGCGCCAATGATCATGGCCAAATCGGGAATGGAAGCTTTGATTTTCAGCCCACTCCCACTGCCGTGGCGCGGAAACAGCTGATCATCGCAGCTGGTGGGAGCCAAAGTTACTGTGCAGATGATGTGTATCAAGTGAAGGCTTGGGGTTATGGGGTCATGCCAGCAGATCCGATGTCGTTGGATTGCCCCGACCGATTCACTGTCACCGAACCCACCGACTTGTTTATACCTGATGGTGCATTTTCCATCGCGGCAGGTGATGATCATGCAGTCATTGTAGGGCCACTGGGGCAGGTAGGTGCCTATGGTGCTAACATGTGTGGGCAAGTTGGGAACAACTCCCTGATGGATGTTGGCCGTATACATGCCATCCTCCAGGGTGGAACCGTGGAAATCCTCAGTCGAGAGGCCCGGCTGGCAGCTGCCATTAAAGGCCCCGCAGAGGAATACATGTTGGAGAGCAAGGCCAGCGCAGAGTCCGAGCCCACCGCCTCAGCGGTGCAACTGGCCCTCGGCCCCCGTGCCGCCGGCGGAGTGACGGGCCCGGTGGGTGATGGCGCAGGCGTTCCGATCATGATGCGGCAAGCGGCTGGTGTAGCCTTGTCCAAAAATTTGGTGTCACACGGGCCAAAGACAGCCACGTAGTATCACGTAGTCAAGTTTTAGGTTTTCAGGTTTCACTCGACTTTGCCAGAGATGATGCTTTCAGTGAGTACGGACAAGCCAACGTGACGAAAAGGAAGGTGTTTTATCGAGGATTTCCTTTTGGAGTTTGGGGCTATCAGTGATTGGAACCATTCTTGTTTACCCAGTGGCCTCCTTGCCAGACACTTGCTTGGCGACCTGGCAAGCGACCTTTGATGGAGCCCGGGTTGCCTGTGGCCTTAGAAGTTCAGCCACGCTGGCCAGAAGAAAGGCATGTTTGGAGAACAGGAGTGGGAGAGATAACAATCTCCGAAATAAAGAATGTTTTTGCCAGGGATGTGCTCTCCAAATCAAAACAGGCTAGGCCTGAGGCTAGGTCACTAGGAGTTGACTCCGCTTATGCAGCGGGTTTACTCCATGAATACTATGTTTTGGGCAACGTTTGTGATTCTGATTCTGATGTATTTGCCGAGCCCATGACTTCTCAGGTTACACATCGAGAAGTGATGCCCGGCAAATTTTGAGTTGCGGAGTTCGCGACCTCCTTGCTGTGCAGCGTGTGCCAGTCGTGGCGTGGCCACTGGAAACAATACTCCAAGTCAGCCATGTAATAATGTAATGTAGCCCAACCATGATCATCATGAAGTATTTGCGGTTCGTAGCCAAGTATTGGTGGATCATCATGTTGTAGCCCTAGCCATTGTAGAACTTTGCTTTTAAGACGTGCTTTAATGAGCCACGAACCGCCACCGGAGCGCCACCAGCGTCGCCACCAGCCTCCCGGTTGCCAGGCCAGAGGGCCTTCGCAACGTGCCGCCACCTCGGAACAAGGCGCAGCCGATGAATCCGCACCGCCACGCCCGAGTGAAGCGCTTTTCCACCGCAATGGCCGAGATAGCTGGTGCAAGGAACTAACAGCCACCAGACGCAACTTGGTCAGTTGATGTCAGTTGTACCTCTTAACGGCCGGCCTGAAAGCCCTTGGAAGTTGCATGTTGGCTTGGCTGTGTGGGCTAGCACTGCTAAACTGCACGTATATATATATATATACATATATATATGTTTAAACCACATCCTGCGCACTTCACATGTATCAGGAGGGCATCAGATAGCAGGCTCCCGAAGAAGCTATACCCAGCATGGAGGGACAAGCACTTCCATGCATTTTTGAGCGGGCTGACGGATTGCAGGTCTACCACATGACCGAAAAACGCCACGTGCGGCAGGCACTCACTACAGGGCTTGTTTGTGACACGTGGCTTGGATGTGTGCATCATGTGCTATTGGTTCATCCAGATGTGTGATGATGTGTGTGCATTTTGCTTGTGGGATTTGGGGTTTGCTACTGCAAGCCGCGCATGTCGCCAGGTGGAAAGCAAGACAGAGTTTCAGGACCTTTGGTCCGCTGGGGTTCTCCTTCCCACCGACCTTCAAGGGGTTTCACCATGACCCAAGCGAGCGGCCGACCCAAGCAAGCATAGCAAGCCGATGGGCAAACAAACAGATCCAAATGATGCCAGAGCTCTTACAAATCTTTTGCGAATGTGCTGTGCTATACTCCAATGTGATCAGGATCGGCCAAATGGAAAGAGGCTGGGCCAGTTCATGGAAGCAGGTTCGCCGCTTTTTGGAGAATGCATGCAGTTGCAGATTTGGGGCAGCAGTCCCGCTGCCCCACCCACGGCTGGAGAGGGCAGTTTCACATAGTTTCATCCTTCAATTGACTTGCTACCGAACGATCTGGACATTCTGACCTCCGGCCATAGCCGTGTGAGGGTGGTCTATCGGACCAATGGCTTGCGAGCCAGCGATCAGCCTGCCTGGTGCTGAATACTTGGTGAAAATCCAACGGGCACTGCACCAGAAGCTGAGGCACAGCTGCGACAAGAATTGCCACTCCTTTAGGAGGACACCCATACACCGGCTCACGTGTTGGGCCTTTGTTCATCATAGATTTCACCAATGCTAGGCCTGCAGGCTTTGATAGAGCTTCCAGGTGAGCTTTTTCCCTTGGGATGCCAATTGTTCTCAGAGTTGTAGGATCGATTTTCATCCATCCCAGGTCATGTCAACCACCCTTGGACTGAGGCCAAGGAAGTTGACATCACCACTGAGATGACCCGAAAGGTTCGTCAAATGGCATCAGCTAGCGCGGGGAGATCATTGAAGACGTGAGTCCAAAGGTTTGACAAAGGTAGGTGTTCACAGCTCGATCGCTGAAGCTTGCTACATGCTTGCTACTAAAGTCAGCGGGTGATGTGAAGCTATCTGGAGCTGCACAAGCTCCAAGCGTTCAGCAACATATAGCACGTTTTTAAATAAGATAGCCTTGCAGACTCCGAGTCGTCAGCAGAAACATTGAAACATGAATCGTCAGCAGCTTTTTCGGATTCCGAACCGGATCCCAACACCATCTCTGATGGATGGAGGCCCTATATACCAGAAAGAATTCCGTTGATGGTCCTCAGATGTGGCGACAGGTTTCAGGAAAGCTGCACAGGATCGACTTGCACATACAAACACGCCCCCGCATTTGATTGAACAAGACGTCAGAGCTTCGATCGCAAGTGGCTTGCATGATCTCCTGTGTCGATCATGAATCATGATCGATCGACAGGCCCGTGTGGAGGGCATGATGCTGCAGCGGAACCTGATTGACTGCCACGCGTTAGGCGGAGACTGGGCCACATGAGTCGATTTAAGATTTCCTTGAAGATTTTGGAGATTTTCCTCCTCCACGGGAAGAGCTGGTGGCTGTTGAAGAACCCTGCACGCCCCCCCCCCCCAAACAACCACAAAAGCACAAAGCTCAGATTGTTTCTCAGACATGAAGCGCGTATGCGTTTGACTGGCACCGGATGTCAGTAACTGTCTGACAGCACTGCTAGCACTTAGTTACCAGCCACCTGTTGGGAGGGGACAAGTACTACCGGCACCCGGAATACGCGCCTGGCTTCTACAAAGCCTGGCCCTGAGGGCCTGTTGGGTCCTATTGAATTCGAAATCCAACATCCACTGGCTGCGTTGGGTGGTGTTGTCGTGACCCTGGGAGAAATCCGTCTTGTCTATTAGCCCACTGAGAACTTGACACGACTGGCGATCCAAGGGTGTTGAAGATACCACCGAGGCTGGTGGTCTTATCACTGGCAGCTCCTTCCATCGTGGGATGCACAAGAAAACCCAGCCGTCCGGGCCTTAGCCCACAGCAGAGTGCCCCACTCTGTGCCCGACTTGCATAGCTGAGGCGAAATGGCATGAGTGTAGTTCTTCTTACAGAAGGCAGGTCCGTACTGATAGGACGAGGGATCACTTGTCAGGCTTCATTATGCATTTGTCCAGATTGTAACATGTTAGAAACTCCAACCAACAGCCTGTAATCGGCTGCTCCCAGAGGATTTTCGTTGCTTCCGCAAGAGTAATGGCAGGACTGTTTCCTGCCCTTAGCAGCTTATTCTAACAAGACAACTTTGCACAAAGGGAAGCAATCCCAGCTTTAGCTACACTCCCACGATGGTGTCTCATGGACTTGCACCTTTTGCAGCTTCACCGGCCACCCTTTGTGGGCAGCTACACGCAGTTAAACACACACACATGTACATACAAATAATTACACGCATGGTATACATGTACCACTAAATATGCATGCGGAAGTTTTACCATGTCCATATGCTACCCTTCAGCTGGTCAGTCGCTCGAGTCCTCCGCATGTGCTGCCGACCGTGCCAGGCACCAGAAGGGCCTCGAAGACGTATCTAGAAATGCTCGCGGAGCGTGAGGTGAGCCTCACGGGACCAAACACCGATGCTAGCCTCAAGCTGATGCGTATGGCAGCGTGCATCCTACGTGACTGTGGTTAAACTCCTCATAGGCAGCCACCTGGATGCCCATCGGCCGTCGTTTGGTCGCTGGCACCGTTGAGGCGACGGACGCCAAGTCAGAAGTCCAGGCCCTCACCAACGAGTGGGAAAACCAAACGTTGAAGGCGCGGTGAAGTCCGGGCTCCGGTGAAGTCCGGGCCGGTGGCTCGGATAGCCATGGTTCTTCTTGGCCAGCTTCGGTGTTATGACTGGCCTCTGGAAGAGGGTCATGTCCCGACGAGCGGTGAGAGCGTCAATCGAAGCTACGAAGCACCCCTGGGCCCCTGGGCATGACTTTTTGTGAGGAAGGCCTAGTTTTGAAGAGTACACACTGAAAAGCTAGCGCGGCTTGCATGGACATCTGAGCTGTGCTTCTTTGGCTTCAGGAGATCGACAAGACGTATCAGGAACCCTTGGACTCCGAGGCCAGGCTGGTGCCGTAACCGCGAGACTCATAGCTTGACAGAGCATTCTCTGTATTTTTTGCCTATCCTGTTCTACATGCTTGATTGCATTTGATTGCCACATGCTATTCAACATATATAATATACTATACATGCATATTGTTATTAAATGTTGGTTGGACTGGACACCTTGTTTGCATTTGGATGTCGCTATTTTTTGAGGGGTTCCCAACACCAGAGTTGACCGTCTTCGCGCCCAGGATGAAGGTGCCAAAGAGGCCTGGGGTGGTCGTGTCGTTCGTGTCGTCGGTCGTGTTGCCGTGTTGCCGGCCATTTCGAGTTCGAGGCCACCAGTGCTAGCTGACACCTTCGGCTAATGAGACATCAGGTAGGATGGAAGTAAAGTTGCTGAGGGCAAGGCCGGCCAAGGGAAGTCGCCGACTTCTTGAACATTTCCTAAGACACAGGTTGCTTGCAAGACCTTGGAAGTGGCACTTTTGCATGTTCGATTGAGTGCGGATGAGTGCTGTCCTTCTTGGGTTCATTGGAAAGCCACTTGCGCCCTCGGCAACTTTCTTGGCATTTGCTTGCACGTGCATCGAATTGGGCAGAGAAACCATCTCCTGACCCTGCATGCAGCAGTTGGGTGTCGTGGGGATTTGTTTAGCCATGGCATGTCAGTGTCATGTTGTGGCCCTTGATGGCCAAGACTGCAAAGCAAATATACACACACACATATATATATATTATATATAAATAGATAAGCGAAATATGCGAACAAGGGAGACATACGTCAATACCAAGGCGCTTCTGTGTGATCACAGGATCATATGCCGTATGGGTCTTAGTGGTGAACTATTTACGCCACTCTAGTCGACGTGAATGATGTCGCGGAGCACCGCCCGCATCGGAGGACGCTTACACTACAGCTTGGCAGTCCATCCTTTGTGTTCTCTTCTATCCCTTTAGAGACTGCATGGCTTGAAAGAACACACGCGCCCTGTGATCTTCACACCCAAATCACCCCCTGACAAGGGCTCTTTTGGTGGCCAACTAATGCGGAACCGGGAGATCTCCCGCGACGCCTTGCTTGCGCAACCTGTGACGCGCTGACAACGTCGGTGAAAATTGGTGGGCTCGCGTTGTCTCGCATTTACACGATCTAGAAGCACATATTTGGTGGGAATAGGTGGGACTCATTTGTAATTACTGTCATTGACGTCATTGTATAAGAAACTGTTGATGTTTTGAGCTGACCTCCTTTAAATACGAAGTGAAAGCAGGCATGACAAGCGAAAACTCACAATTCACGAACATAGCGGAGCCGTTGCTGCCAGCTGTGTGTCACAGCGTAGCGTAGCCGCTGGAGCTCCGCCGGTGGTGTTTTCAAGGGGAACTTGCCATGGCTGCTCTTCTTTTTTTATGCCTTTGGCCATTTCTGGCTCACGCAGACTGGGCGTTCCGACCTCAGTGATTTCGGAGATTTTCGGAGCTGAAGCGACTTATGCGGGCTTCTCCTAGTTAAGTAAGCCTGTGGACACTCACAGACTGACAAATACTTTAAGAATCTTTAAGACTGTAACGTATTGCAATGTAAGATATATATAATATACAGTGTACTATGTCTATGTTCTTTATATATTATATACATATATATATATATCCTGCAGAGATGGCGGCTCAGATGAAGGGGTCATTCTGCAGATTGATCGCCGGCAATGGTTCATTGATCAGATCAGATACCAAGCCGTACCACGCACTAAGCATGTCATCCTAGGCTTGTCCTGTCTGAGTGTTTGTCATCTACATGCCAAGCACGTACTTTGAGTGTCTATCAAGCCCCCAGATCACCGCAGAACACATAATCTTCCAAACCCTTTCAACGCTTTGGACTGGACGACTGTGTCCTTCGCTCCACCACACGCGCGTTTGCGTCGTTTGCGCCGCGCACTGATCTGATCGCTTCCAAGGTCAACGACGGTCGCCAACAAAAGCGCTGGAGAAGAGTTGATCATGCAGCTGGAGTTGCTCGGTGTGTCACCATAGAGACCACCCTGTGGGGAGTGTGCATTTGTAGTTTTCATTGAGTGAGTCTGTGAGATACTGCGAGGTTGTAGGTGAATTGTGTGAACGACTGGGTTGCCTGTTGGCGGTTCTTTTTTTATTATGGCATCCTCCATTCAGCCGCGTGCCGGCACGTTTGCTGTGGCTTTGATTTAATGTTGGGCGATGTTCTGGCCTCGAATCCCGGCACATAAGCATGATCTGGTCATCCTCAGGTATCAAATTTGACCTCACTACCGCACAGTTGATTCATAACTCAACGGTCTAGGAGTCTAGGATTTGCAGCCCTGTTGGAAATGCGACAGCTTTTCTGGCCAGGAACCGTTTGCATCCGCAGAACTACACCCTCGAGAGCACTCACTTGGAAGACATTCGATCTTTCTTTTGGTGGGACGGTGAGCTGAAGGAGCTTTCATTCATGGCTTCACTCGGGAGTTTTCCTTGCATTGAGCAGCATGTTTTGATATTTTTGGAACTCGGGATGATCACTTTCAGAGGCACTTTGGGTGGAGCCCTGTAGGGAAGAAGTCGGAAGAAGCACGAATGCCGAACGCAGGAAGAAGATGAACTGAGAGCTACCATCGACTCTGAGGCAGGGATCCATGTAGCTTGGTATGTAGCTTGGTATCTGAAGCATAGACAAAGACTCCCCAAAAGGCACTACATGCCTTTGCATGCCATGTCCGACAAAGTTTGTGGAAAGGAGCTCAGCTAGGAGATGTGAAGGTGCTGTAGTGTGAGGGAACTCAGTTGTGGGATCGCCTAGGTTGAGGTGAATTTGACAAGGCTTTGGCCAAACATTTCACTCGTTCTGGTTGGATTTGGATATGTGAACTTTCCTTCCTTCCCACTAGCCCCACTGGTGGCCAGAGCCATAAATTATACATATCGCTTTCTGTGCAGGTTCCCTTCGCAGTTCTCTTGGAAGCTCTTGCCGCCGACCACCCTTATGACTTGCCGATGATCGTGTCCAGCGCTCATCTAGGGTCTGAGGAGCGGGCAAAAAATACGGCAGGCGAATGAGCAATTGAAACAAATACTCAGTCGATCACTGCATTGGTTCGTTTAAGGGTTCTACTTCGGATGCTGTGGGACTTCCACTGCATTCACAACAACAATGCTGGACCTGAAAGTTATGACAATCTATGACAATCCTACGCCATTTGGTGAAAGTCACGATGCTTTTAGGTTTTGCCGGCCCTTGTTCACAGGGTCACGGGTCACGGTATGTCACGGTATGTCACGGTCGTCAGTTGAGAGCAGTTGTGATCCACTTCACGCCGACCGCAGGTTGCATATTCTGCTGCCCCCCCACTCCCCCAGGAGGAGCACAAAAACCACAAGCATGTCATGGCCATTGCAGTGGTGAACGAAACCAAGCTGGAAGTGGCTCATGGCTTGGCCAAGTCCATCGTAGAGGTGATTCGCTCGGATCGTGGGTTGTGGGCATTTTAGTTGCACAGGTCAAGCATCATGATTGTTGGCTTCTCTTTGTGGGGGGAAACAAGCCCGTTTGAAGATTTTGAAGAATATGTCTTAATAGTTACATGCATAACCATGTTTGTATATATATATATATATTTCACAAGCGCGCTGATATGGCAACCCTATGTCCAGCCAACGTCTTCAACAGGGATCCTTTGGAAGTTCCAATCGGATAAATGTAGAAAGAATTCGTACAAATAGACCGAGCACAAGCACTCAGCTTGGCCACATCAATTTATTCTGCCGAAGGCTGACACATAGCATCCCTGCCAGTGGCATCATTTTTGGTACATGGCACTAGTGTCACGCAATCCATGCACCTTGTTTTCTTTAGGATGGAGGATGGGCCCAATCACGTTTTCTGAACCCTCACAGCTTCTGACTTGAGCCGCTTGTTAGTGCCAGTTGCGGCTGCATCTCCCTTTTATGTCCAACGCGGGCACGTTTCAGGTGAAATTTGCCGCATGTGCTCAGGCCATGATGGGAGGGCAGATTGGGCAGCTGTGGCATCACAAAGATTCGGAAGATACTGGGTCGAACTCCAAATGCGCTCTTAGACTAATTACCTACTACAGTATGGAGTCATTTTCAAGATAAAGTCGGATGAGCCATCACGTGCGGCACTCGCGGCAGGTGGCACAGCTTCAAATGAAAGACTCCGAAGTGGAGCACTTCACGATCATTTTAAAGACCTTGGCCGCAGCCAAGGTGGCCCGATGTGGTTTGTGAGCGAGTGCGGTTCGGGTGGCAAGTGTTTGATTTTTTGTTGGTCACGAGTCACGGTGCTAGAGTTTTGGAATGTTTTGGAACATGCCAAACCGCGAACCTATGACTATGACCTTGGAGGAGGAACAGAAAGTGGAGTTGAGTGCTGAAAGAAGGATTCAAACTCAAACTGACTCAAACAGCCCAACATGTCATTTGGCCCAGGACCAGATTGAGGTTGAATTTGGAGGCTTGCACTTCGACTTTCATCCGATCCAAGCCAACGAGCAATACTTGAAGTGGATTGAGGACAACACGGTCGTCCGTCCACATGCTGGGGACCCAGAGGCAACCTTAGAAGGTGTCCAAGAGTTGGTCCAACGATCTAAGGGGAAACCTTTGAAGAGATCTAAAGAGTCTACAATAGCATGTTTGAGGGCAAACCTTCCCAATGCCTTTCCCGAGTTGATCCCTGGAAACTGAGGTGGCGGAGCTTTGACGCAGCTGGCCATGCATGAAATTCGGAGAAGTCAATGCTGAGAGAGACGAAACGTGGTGTTTGAGCGCTGGCCGTAGCTAATGGAGCTAAAACCTGGTAGAGGTCTCACAAAAGCAAAGCACCTGGAAGACCTGAAATCATGTTCGGCAAAGACCCTCAAGAAGCTTCAATGCGGGTTAGACTTGTCATGACTTGTCCTCAAAGAATTATATTAAGTTCTGGCCTTGCATGTTTAAGTTGCAGCCTGCAGCTACAAATAGCTACTTGGGCATATTCAAGAATTGATTGAAGACTTGCCGCGCTGCAGCACCTGAAAGCTGAAATTGGCTGTTTGCGGTGAATCTGGCTTTCAGCCAGCAATGCGTCGCCTTGTGCACTCAACACAGGCATATACCAGGCTGACCTTTGGCAGCCAGAAAGAAGGATGTCAGGTGCGCTTTTTGATGCTTTGTGTGTCTACTTCCAGCCATGTTTATTGTGCAATTGATTCCATTGCATGTATTGCCGATGTTCACTGATCAGTCAACATCAATTACAGGATGAACCTCATGCCTCATGCCACTTCAGGCCACAACATAGACGGTGGGAGGGGAAGTTCACGTGCCAGTTCGCCCGCTCATGTTTTGGTGTCAAGTCTTCCGTCCTTTTTATTTTTAAGAGACGGAAGGTAGGGAAGTTCCACCGTCAATGCGCAGTGATTGTGAACATCTGACTTCTTTTTTTTGAGTAGATGTTTCACCCAACTACCCGACGGCCCTCAGACATAAACATACAATGGCCCTGACTGAGCATGGGGCCAGTGAGCCGACCTAAAGTGGATTTCTCGTAAGACGCAGGACTTCTCGTAAGACACGAGTGAGAACACAAAGAAGACACAGACTGGAAAACAATTTTCCATTATAAATTTAGCTCCGGTGCTGTGGCGCCATGGCCTCCACAAGCGCTGAGTTGGAAGCAAAGTTGCTGAAGCGACGACAGTTTGGGCCCTAGCAGCCAGGCAATGCGGCCTTGTCCGCAGAAGCGGGGTCCGTTCACTGACAAAAGGTGGGAGATATAATGTATATTCAGTGTGTATATTGCTTAACACCACCCGAACCACCAAACTGCGGAATACTACGCGCGCGTGTGTTCTCTCGTTCAGGAAGTGCGAGGGCGCCATCTCCCCGCCAACGCAGAAGGGCAGCCGGGTTTGGTCCGATGAGATGGCCAAGGTGCGAAGGGCTTAGAGGGGCGTGAGGAGGGGACAAAGGCCGATGAGGGACTATCTAGTGATACGATGTTATTTTTGTGTATCTATGGCTGCCTATCCCCAAAACAGAGGGGACTGGACTAACGACAATGGAATAGAGGAGATCTGACAATGCTGCGTTGTTCCACTTCAGCATCACCTCCGAGACGCAGTTCCCTCCAGACATGGTTCCTTTCTCAAGTCACCAGTCTCCTATGTGACCATGGCCTCACGATCTTGGCAGACGGTGTCTCAACAGCGGCGAGCACGACTCAATGCCCAAGGCTCGCCGACTTGTGTCATGTCATGCGCCAGAGAATGAGTCTTAGACGTGCGCAGTCTTAGAAGTGCGCACGTGACAGCCTTTCTCAGGAGGATTCTTGTTCGGCTGTTCCGCAGTTCAATCCGCCAAACTCACGTTCAAACGAGACGTGAGGCGGTGATGCGAATGGCAATCCACAAGATGTCGACACGGCACCTCGCAGCGTCTCATCAACCTCATCTTCCAGCAGGTCGGGAGCGAATGTGAATTTTGGTGCCATACTGCTATTACATGCGTACTCTTGTACTCTCTTGTACATGGCAGATTTGTCAAAACCCTGAGATTCTGATTGACCTCCCAGCACGGCCACGGTTTTCGGAGTGTGCGGTGTTGATGGCACAGAAGGCGTAGTTTTTTGATTTGCTTTGCGGAGTGCAGAGTTACGCTCCCGCTTGCCGCGTTTTGAGCACAAGGCCGAAGGGGAAGGATGTGGAGTCGGCTGCAGTTGCTGCCAGATTTGGCCAGAAGTATTTAATCCTTTTGGGCTGCATACCGGCCTGGCTCCCAGCGCGTTTGCATCCTTGTTGCACTGGTCATGCTCATTCGCAAATGCATGCTAGAAAAGTGCCCGTTTTCCAAGGCATTGCTGCTGTGCATGTTCCTTTCGCAGAGACCCTTCGAGAGGTGCACTGCCTTTTTTGTGGGGGCAGGCCCTGTTGAAGAAACATAGACATAGAACTGTACTAGACAAAATCTGTTCCAGACTGATGCAGGCCGCCTGTTCCACTCCAGCACCAGACCTGTTTCATCGTTCGAAAGCTTCATGGCTCTTTTGGTGTGAGGCCGGGTGCCGAGCTTGCCAGCCACATGGCAGGGGATTCGCCGGAGGATTCGCCGGAGGAGGCCAGAGGCTTTGGCGGATTCGGCAGGTTGATCTATTCTTGCTTCAAAGCAGTCAGGCTGCCAGGGGCGAATCACAGGGCTAATGTGAATCGTAGCCTGAAAAACACCTGCGCACCTCCGTAGCCTCCATGGGACTTTGGGGCCTTATGTCGTTTGAACTCATCTGTGGATATCACTTGTGGATTGGCAGAGTTTGTCATGGCAGGATTGGCCTGAACTCTCAGAGAAGCCACTCGTGCCGATGAAGGAGACCGGTCGAAGAGGCTTCGGTCGCTAGATTGCTACCGAGTCAAAGCACCCGTTATAATCCTATATCATTACAGTACTGTATGATGTTGTTCAATTTTGTTCAATATTGTGTTGTGTGCATGTGTGTTCTTAAGGAGGTGTCATGAGGGTGTCTTCCCAGCCTTAGGGATTCTTGTTGCTTTCTCTTGGGGGCAACGCCCCACCCACTTACATGCCATCTCAAAAATGCCGAGTTGGTTTTGTTTCAATTCTGGTTGGACACGGGTTTCAGGATCCGCTGCCGGAATTGGAAGAGGAGCTGCCCTTTGCACTAGCCTCGGGGGCCAGCCCATGTCACTTTTTCTGTTTGAGAGGTTCTTGAGAGACACTGATAGAGCTTTAGGGCACGCTTCCATCTCTTTTTTTCCCATTTCTTCCCTTGTGGCCGCTTGCGACCTCTTGCGACTACCTCTCTGTCGCGTGCGTTGCGTCAACATCTTCGACCTTTGAGCCGACCGAGGATTTGCAGCAGTTCAGTGCCACCGTCCAAGAATCGCATTTGCAGCCTGTGCCCCAGTTTCACCAACCAGATCTACAGGTGGAGTGACGTGATGTTTGATGTGGGGACCAGGCCACACCACAGCTCTGTAGCTGCTGACGCCAGGAGATGGGTAGTGGTGCAGTATGGTGCAGTGCATGGCTGTTGCGTCGCAATGAGGGATATCATTGGAGGATGTTGGAGAGGTGTTCTTTCAAAGGAGCCTGCGCATGCCTACTCTGTGACCATCATGAGAAACCAATCCTCAACCTCTGGCCGCTTCCAACCCAACAAACATACTGTACCAATGTGGATCCAATATGACCCCATCACTGAACAGATGCATCCCAAAACCACCCAAACCTGGGCCGCCCGCGTGGTCGAGCTCGCTGAGACCGTTTCTCCGGCAGGGCCCCACGGGACCTGACCAGCGAGTGGTCGCACTTCCTCTCCGAGAACGGAGCGATCCGACAGGCTGGCAGGGTGGCCGCGGTCGCATGCCAAACGCAAAAGGGATGAAAGGCATTTGGAAAGGCCTCAAGGAACCACTGTTTCGAGTTTAGTTGAGAACTGTTGCTTTGGGGGCCTGGGCCCCTAAGCAAGGTGACCAGCAATTTTCTCCATCCCCCTGATGCATAGGGGCCACTTTCTTGCCCCTCTTTCAGCGAAGCTCAAGGAAGCATGGGAAGGTTCTGCCTTCTCCATGCAGGTTCTCAGCCAATAACATCTATAATTTGGAACTCTGAGACCAATGTAAGCATTGGGCAAGTTGATGTGTGGAAGTCACTTTGCAGTCTAGCAGTGTAAAGGACATGCCTGGTTGACCGCAGGCCTTGAGTATGGCTCACGAGAAAAGGGCGGTTAGGCGCTCTAGGGCCCTCCACTGAAACAGTGGTAGCGGAGCCCGGCTACGGCTGGGCAGTAGACCCCGTCTAGGGGAAGTTCGGCCGCAAGGCCACCTTAGACCCTGACCTTCAGGGAAGTCCGGTCGCAAGACCACCTTAGACCCTGACCTTCAGGGAAGTCCGACCGCAAGGTCACCGTAGACCCTGACCTTCAGGGAAGTTGTAGCCGCCATGGCGATGGCGGAAGGCAAGAGAAGAAAACCACCACGACAGTGGACAGCTAGGACTACGGCGGCTGGGCATGGAGCTGAAGCAGCGGCTGATGCAGAACTTGGCGACACCGATCAAGGACTCCTTGGAGCTGTCGCGGAACCTCAGCTGCTGACGAGTGCGTACTGCACTTCCACCCAAACGGGTGATGTTGCCACAGCTCATGCTCCAGATGCGCCGACATGGACACCTGAAATGCCTTCGGCAAGCTCAACGACACCAGCACCTTGGAGCCAGCCAGCTCCAACACCAATGAGTCCCACGGCGACTCCATGGTTGCCACCACAGGCCCTACCTCCTGGTCAACAAGGCCCTTGTGGACAAGTCCAACCCGGCTATGTGCCTTGCTCTTCTGGTCACCTTGGACCTTGTGGACTATGTCAACCCGGCTATGTGCCTTGCTTTCCTGGTCACCTTGGACCTTGTGGACCTTGTCAACCTGGATATGTGTCTAGCGCTTTTCCTGGAGTACCTGAACATGGTTTTGGTTGTGGTGCAGGTTTTGGACCAGGACCTCATGGATGTGGAGCTCAAGCTTTTGGACCTTCGGCCCCATGGCCTTCTACTCCAACAAGCCCTATGAGTTTTACACCACCACAGCCAGCGGCAAGTGTACCTCGACCTTCAACTCCGGCAACACCTACAAGTCAGCATGGTCAACCGGATGCCAGTTCGAGGACTTCTCCAATGCCACCAGATCCTTGGGCGAAGTTTCGTGCGACTCAAGGTGCAAGCAATGGCATTGGAACCGCAGCCGACTTTCAAGCCAACTTGGGTAACATGGTTCCCCCTCCAAATACTACTCCAATGGACTCGGCTTTCACAGCTCTCGGCCACACGCTTCCAGGCGGAGTTCCAGACAGCAGTCAACCAACAGACATGGAATCCTTGTTGAGGCAACTGGTCTCCACCCTTGGAGGCGAGCGGAAATCTCAAGTGCCGACTTGGAGTGGCGCACCAAACCTCTTGCGCCAATGGCTGAAAAGCCTCGGGCTCTGGGAACAAGAAACTTCACTTCCCAAGAGCAAGTGGGGACTGCGCCTGTATGCAGCCCTCACCGACGATGCAAAGCGCATCGCCGACACGGTGCCAATGGATGAATTGGTCACTGAACGCGGCTACTCAGCCATCCTCACGGCACTGATGTCGAAGTACAAGCCTTATTTGGAGGCAGTTGGACCTTCAAGTGTCGACTCCTTTTTGTACCTTGGCGAAAGAGGCCCCAAAGAATCCTTTGCAGCCTATCTGGCCCGCAAGGAAGTCCAACGCCAAGAACTCGAGAGTCAGATCGGCGAGAAGCTGCAGACCTTGGTCGCCGGCCGTGTACTCCTTCGCCAGGCGAACTTGACGGAGCAACAGCAGCAGCTCTTAGCTTTGAAGATGACCACTTTGGCCACCTACGAGGAAGTCATCCAGAGCCTTCGACCTCTGGACAGGTTGGACAGCTTGGCCAAAGCAGGTGGACTACCAGGAGCTGCAACCACGACCAACAAGACCTACATGACTGCCGAGCCCTACGACTACGACTACTTCGATGAGGACGAAGAGGAGGAGGATGGAGAAGCTGATGACTACGACTATGAGGAGGACGGCGACTCTGTGGAAGATGGCATGCTCCAGTTTGAAGACAGGGAGTATGATGAGATGGAAGCTGTCTATGTCCAGGCGTACAACGACGTGCGCAAGGACTTGAGGTCCCGACGAAATGAGCGGGGCTTTGTCAACCACCGTGGGAAGAAACAAAAAGGAAGCGGCAAAGGCGGTCGCTTCAGAAGGAAAGGCCGTGGAAAAGGTCGCGGTGGAAAAGCACCAAAAAGGGATGACTCCTTTGTGAGGGGCACAGAACAAGAACTTCTAGCCCGAACCAGATGCTTCAACTGCCAAGAACTCGGGCACATCAGCAGGAACTGCCCCATGAAGCCCTCGAAGAAGCAAGGTGGCGGCACAAACTTTGTCACTGTTGGCACTGGCCCCAAGGCTAGTCCCAAGGCTCCTACTTCGTCGACGATGATGACAAGCAGGACTACCTCGAGCATCTTTGTCTTCAGCAAGGTGAACAGTGAAGCGACCCAAAGATCCTTGACAAGAGCCATCTACGCCTGTGTTCGCTGCAGAGCCAACCAATGTGTGGTGGACACCGCGGCTGAAGATGCAGTCACAGGTTCGCAAGCCTATGAAGCTATGGTTGAAGAGTTGGCCAGCTTGGGACTTCGCCCGGTTCCTGTCAAGCAGCAGGGCATTCCATGCGCTGGCATTGGAGGACAAGCTCAGCTTCGCTTGGTTGCTGACGTTCCCACTTGCATTGCAGGCTTGCTGGGCATCATTCGCTTCTCTGTCATCGAGGACACCGAGAACTTCGTGACCCCGCCGTTGCTTCCCATATCCTATCTGGAGGCAGTGGGCAGCACCTTGGACTTCATCCACGACGTGTACACCACCCAGGACGGCCATTCCACTGTGATGACTCGACTACCTTCTGGTCACCGTGCTGTCAGCCTCTTCGAGTTTGACATCACGCCCTGGAACCTACCTCCTGAACATCGTGTCAATGGCTTTGACCCTTTTGTTTTGCCCGCTGGACGTTCCTCGCACTCCTTTTTGGGGGGAGTGGGATCGGTGGGATCGGGTTCTGTTGTTCCTTTGCGTGGCTCGACTTTCGTCGATCGGACCCCTGACGCTGGAGTTCCCATGGACGATTCGGTTTTCCTGCACTACCTGGAAACCCACAGCAAGCACCCTGCACCAAGCACTGTGCGCACTGCGCCAAGCACTGTGCCTTCAGAGTCCGAATCTACACGACGAGAAGATCGCCCTGGAACCCCGACGGAGAAGTACACCACTGCTTCGGAACGTTCAATGGAAAGAGAACCTGAGAGTGTCGCAGAACTTCCATCAATGAGAACTGGATCCTGCAGGCGCCCCTCTTGCACCTGCTTCACCTGAACCTCCAGTTCAAGAGATTCAGACTGTCTTGCCTACAAGGTCGGAATACACCAGCTATGCAGACTCGCGATACTCAGACTCCAGATCGAGATCCCGGACGGTCAGGCCTCGAGAAGAACACACGCCTTGTGGAGAAGGCATGGGAGAAGAGGAATCCAGAATGGACGATCCAGAAATGACGCCAAGCCGACCTTCACCATCTATGGACGAGGATGCCAATGAGACCACGGACAACGAGCCTATGGTGCGCTCGGACGGCGTGGACTTCTTCTTCGAGCACTACAATGGCAACCTCTCCTTCTTGGAAGCTCGGCCAGGAATGTGGACCGGACACCTTCCAGTGCCAGCTGACGTGCGATCTCTGCACATTGGAGGTTTTCCCGTCCCTGCATCGCAGGTATCCTCCAGGCGGGTCATTCACATGATTGCCCCGACCGAGATCTTCGCCAATGGCACTTCCGAGAAAGTGATCGACGACTTGTGGACTCAATTTCCAAGGCCAAGGACAAATTTCTCCTGGAGCGGCTCCGTCACCTTCTTTGAGCAGACAGAAGGGGAAGAACAACTCCCTTTTGGAAAAGGATGGCAAAAGCACGGCGGCCGCGGACCTTATGAAGATCGACCTTGTGACGCTGGACGACCCTCTGAGCCCTCGGACCAAAACTCGAGGAACATGGCTTCCAGTAGCTCCAACTATCGCCCACCTGGACATCACAAAGGTGGAAAACAGAGAGCAGTCCTTTGCGAGGCCACCGAATCAAGTCCCTCACAAGGCCACTTTGGACCCAGCAGTTCGGCAGATGTGCAAGTTTTTGATACGGAGCACACTGATCATGATGGTGCATGGGTTTTGAGTCCAGGGTTGCAAGAACATGTTTATTTTGAAGAGTCATCGAAGCCGACGTCATTCAGTCTTTCCAACTTGAAGAACAACTTGGTGCGATGTCCGAGAAGGAGATCTTTTCTGAATCGCCGAAGCCTTTTTAGCTCTATGAGGAGAACTTTGTTCCAGGCAGCCCAAGCCTTCGTGACACGACTCGTTCTTTGCCATGGCGCCCAAGAAGAAGACGCCAGCAGCTTCGGGCGATGTGCAATCCCGAATCTACGAGATGTTGAAGAAAGAGGATGCACAGATCCCAGCCTCGACTCGCAAGCTGGGAGAAGCACGCTGTTCAGCGGCATGGGCCCGAATGGTGAAAGCTTTGCTCTTCATGCTGGTGACCGTGCAGAACCAGATGGTCCTGGACTACTTGCAGGAGAAGGGCATCATGGACGACTACATCCAGGAGGACGAGTACCAGCCGGAGAAGGAGAAGGCTCAGAAGAAGGGTTCCAAGAAGACCAACAACCAATCTTGGATCCCACAGGGAATCGGCAATCCACTGGCCAGGTCTCAGACCCATCAGTACTGGGACA